CACGGAAGGGGGGTGATCGCACCACGTTGCGTTAAAATGGTCAAGCACCCTCGAGGCAGTTACACAGTGCTTACAACTGTCTCTGGAAGTGAAAGCACCAGAAAATAAATTAAGTCATACGCAGCTGTCATCCGTACGCAAGGAAGTAAGCACAAGATGCCGAGCACCGTTAGCAGGATGCAGCGCACCCTTCATGCGACTCGCCGAATATATCACGGTGCTTCGCGCTTGGTGATGTGAGAGCCTGGTCCGGTGAGAACCCGGCGTGCTCCGTCCCGGCTTTGTAGGGATGCGAGGTCAATCGTCTAATGTCTACGACGTGCACGACTAGGGGTACACCCCCCTCCCCTTCCCTTGCGAATCCCGGGAGATACACATACTGCTCACAAACAATTTTGACCCATGTTAGGTACGAACTAACACCATGTTCGTACGAACTAACACCATGTTACGGATCCCACCCTCGAACCATCACGTGCACCACGCGTTCCATCCCACAAGAACGACCTTTTGAGGGACATCGAATTATCTAGGGGCACATCGACGTATTACTGTAGATGCTAGGCACAGCCAACACTGGGAATCAGTCTTTCATGATACTATGCATGAAGGGTTTCCTCACGTGCCCCCCTCCTCAGCGAAAGATGGAAGAGCATGCTCTTCGCAAACAATCTCGATGACTGGTGCGTACGAACTACTGTTACACTACATTTATGTAAGGGTTGAAACCGCGAACCCTTAGTTAGGTACACCACCATCCATCCCCATTCTAACACGCTCTTCTCTTGCATTTTGGCGAGACTCGTCGCGCCGAACACAACAAATAACCTGTCGGCTTCAAACGCCGCAGGGGGCAAACCCCCGGGCTATTATATTAATAAGATTTGTAGCACATATCCCTGAGGGTGTAGCAGATACATTGCGCGATACACAAAGTATACAAAATGCATTTTGTAGAATTTTTCCAAAAATCAACTTTACTAGAGCAGCGGTGGTGGTGGACCAACAACGCATCACGACCGAAGACAAACTTGCGCATATTTCGGTGTCTCCTCGACACAGTTCACCTTCATCAAGAACAATATCTACCTGCGTTTGTACCATTTAGATGCTTGCGAAAGAGACGGGAACACACATGAACACGTCTTCGGCACCATATTGATAACATCATATTAATAGTGCTGTAGTGCTTCTCCTGCGAGTTGGGTGACTAAGCAAGCACACCATCGCAACGGGTTGATAAAATGGTTGGCGCCGTTCTCAAAAGGGCAACCTCCCCCCCCCCCCCCCCCCCCCCCCCCCCCCACCCCCCCCCNGCATATCAACCATTCTGGGCAGGCCCAGTCCACTCCCCAGGGTCAATGAACCGAGCCTTGTCTGCCTGGAGTTTCATTCCGACTGCTACTGAGGCATGTACGCATTTCCTAAAACATGGCCTCGAAGCAGGCAATGATACAAAATGTACGTTCCATAGTCTGAGCAACAACAGGTTTTCATGAGTCACATGAATACCTCAAAAAACTACCTTCAAGTGCAGCAACTTTTCACCGATGACTGCGGGACAATACGTGAAATATAAGTACGCCCCCCGCCCATACCAGCACGATGCAAAAATGACGCACCTGTCAACAAATTCGTGCACGCACCCGTCACGCAAGTCACTGCACTCTTCAGCGTCGATGGACCGAGCCCTAAACTTGCCCGAAGGTTCATTCCACCTCTTACGGAGGCATGCCTATTCGCGTTTCTTGGAACGTGGCCTCTAAGCAGGCTATGATGAACATGCTTCATACAATAACCGTACTGCTGTAGTCATACCAAAAGTTTCTCATAGGTATTGTGTGGCAAAACAATATACAAGAGCAGTGCTACTGAACATTCATTCATACTGGTTGTGCTAACATTTCTATAACAACGTCATCATCGACGACGTCAATCTTGACGCCGCCGAGTTGCACCGCACCAAGGTCGATGCTGATATGTGGTGTTGTAGAATGGGTCATTGCCACCCACGTGCTCTGCAGCAGCTAGAGGACAAAGCGACAACCGGAGTGAAGTTCAACCGGAACATCGAACCAGGCGACTGCGGGGATTGCGCGGTTGGCGACAGCAAGAAAGGTAGCCACCCCCCGTCGAATCGCACTCGAGCCACGACTCGGCTTGAGATTCTGAGCGCCGATATGTGGGGGCCGCACCCTTTCAAGTCACCCGGCGGTTGACAGGGTGCCGTTATGTTTACTGATGACCTCTCTCGCATGAGGTTTGTCTTTCTCCTGAAAACGAAAGATGGGGTGGCGGAGTCGCTCCAAGAGCTTATCCAGAACGAAGCGGATCCTTTGGGGATCTGCATCGGCAAGGTGCACTGCGATGGCAGAGCAGACTTCAAGGGCAGGTTCCAAGCGTTGTGTGAGTCCATGGGGATCAAGGTCGANATGTGGGGGCCGCACCCTTTCAAGTCACCCGGCGGTTGACAGGGTGCCGTTATGTTTACTGATGACCTCTCTCGCATGAGGTTTGTCTTTCTCCTGAAAACGAAAGATGGGGTGGCGGAGTCGCTCCAAGAGCTTATCCAGAACGAAGCGGATCCTTTGGGGATCTGCATCGGCAAGGTGCACTGCGATGGCAGAGCAGACTTCAAGGGCAGGTTCCAAGCGTTGTGTGAGTCCATGGGGATCAAGGTCGATGATAGCCCTTCCTACGTGCCGCAAGGGAACGCCATCGCCGAACGTGGATTTGGCACCATCTTCGGAATGGCGCGCAAGCTACTCCTGGGAGCACCCCACCTTCCAGGCCATCTGTGGGGCGAAGCATTCCATACAGTTATCTACCTCAAGAATCGCACACCAAGGAGGATCTGGGCGGAAAGGCCCCACTCGAGGTGTGGGAGGGGAGACCGCTCGGTGACATGTCGCACATCCACGAATGGGGCTCGGTAGCCTATAAGCATGAAGAAGCGCGATTCCGGAACACCAAGCTGTCAGCTAGGGCCAAGAAGATGTATCATGTGGGGTACAACACTAAAAATAGGACATACAGGCTGTGGGAACCAGCGGAGCCCCTCAAGATCGCAAACTCCGCTGAGGTGTCATTTCGTGAGAAAGAGACTCGCGACGTGGTCAAACCCAAGGAAGGGTAAGACCCGTTCTCAGCGATGACTCCAACCGCCATCTATCTGCCAGACATGGTGGACACTAACGAAGAAGAAAACAAAAAAATAACAAGAAGAAGTAACACCAACGCCATCGGGACCCCAAAAGGAGGATTCGAACCTACGTCGGAGCGGCAGGGTCTCCATCGCACCGGAGAGGATGAATCTGCATACGACGGAGGAGGTGTACGAGCGGACCGAGCATGCCCTGTTGACGGGTAGTGTGCTCGGAAATATCGGCACTGGTCGCCCCGGTGAGGCGGGCTACAGGCCTGCTGATCCCGTGAGCTATGACGCAGCGGTCAACGGCACGGAGGAAACACTCTGGAAAGAAAGCGTCAGCGACGAGGGGAATTCGCTATACAAACATGACGTGTTCGACTGGGTGGATCCGCCGAAGAACTCTGAACCGATCCCGTCTAGGTTCCATTTCGTGTGGAAGTACAATCAGGACGGCGTGGCGGTTCGCGCGAAAACTCGTGTGATGGTGCAAGGCTTCTACGAAGCTGATACGGGGGCCGACAAGGCGGCGCCGGTGGCGTCCATGGAATCCGTACACATGGTGTTAGCAGTTGCTGCCCACAACCATCTCGTGCTGAAGCAAGCGGATATCAGGACGGCACTTTTACATGCCAGAATCCCCGAGGATGCGGAGCCTACATACGTCATATCGCCAAAGGGATTCCCGTGTTCGCCGGGTCAAAGTAATCAAGTCTGGGTTCTCAAGGCGTGGCTCTATGGCCTGCGCCTCTCCCCGAAGGGATGGAACGGTACTCTTTATGTCTTTCTGCTGGAGCTTGGCTTTGTGCAGAGCACCGCAGACCCGTGCCTTTACTCACTGCAAGACGGAGATTTACTTGTGCTTGTATACGTGAGCGACATCATGTTCACCGGCACCAATGACGATCTGGTGACGACGGTAATTTCGCAGCTGAAGGAAAGGTTCGAAAAGGTGGATCTGGGGGATGCGGAATTCCTTCTGGGAATGGCCATTCAGCGCCATCTCAACGCCGGAACACTTCTCCTGACGCAAGAGGCGTACACCAAGGCCGTGCTGGCTAAGTTCAACATGGCTGACGCACACCCGACGAAGACGCCGGCTGAGGTTGGGCCGACCAGTACGGCGGAGGATAAAGTGCTGTCGCCAGAGGGCACCAAGAAGTTCCGGTTGGCTACGGGTTCGGTTCTTCACCTTTGCAGGGGAACGAGGCCGGACATTGCACACTCAGTGTTGGTGTTTACCAGGAGCATGGCGAAACCGGGACCGAAGGCGATGGCCAAGCTGAAGCGGCTGCTTCGGTACCTAAAGGGGACCACCTCCATCGGAATCACGTACAGCGAGGATGCCGAGGATGGAGACAAACTAACGGCGTACGCTGACTCGGACTTCGGAGGTGATCTAGACGACCGGAAGCCGACTACGGGGATCGTCCTATTCCTAGCTGGTGGGCCGGTGGACTGGAGGGCGGCTAAACAACCGCTGGTGGCCGCCTCATCGGTGGAGGCGGAGTGCGTGGCGTTGTCCAGGGCTAGCCAGCTCATCATCCCCTTCCGGCACCTACTGAAGACTGTAAACCGTGCCCAGAAGGAGGCAACGGTGCTTTACGAGGATAACTCCGGGGCTATATTGACTAGCCTTAGCTCCACGATCACGCCCAGGACCAAGCATATTGATATCAAGTATCACCACATCAGGTCGCTAATCCAGGATGGAGTCGTATAGGTCGAGAAGATCGATTCAGCAATGCAGAAAGCTGACATGTTTACCAAGAGTTTGGGTGCTGTGAAGTTCATCACGAACCGCATGATGCTCCTCGGAGCATAATTTGTGTTGGAAACGAAGCTCAAAGAGATGTGTGTAGGAGGAAAAGAATTCGCTGCTTGAAGGAAATGTAGGGCAGCTAGAAAATATTTTGATTTTGTATGTGTGCCAAGTACTCGTGATGATTGTTGATTCCGGAGGACATTGACGTTGTTTTGAGAAGACATCGAGAGCGAAGTTGTCTTGTGTATCAGAACGAGAATGCCGTAGTTCTTGAAAGGACATGTTGGGGTATTCGTGTTGTGCATGAACGACTCTATTCTGCAGTGTGGGTTTAATACCCGGCATTGTGAAGGCGTGTTTCCAAGTCTGTAACCGTCAGGTGAAGACAGCTTGGGCGCCTGTATGTGGATAATAAGTCACTCTGTGTTTCTCTACCCAAGCTGCCGTCACATACGCCAGACACAGCATACAACAGCCGTTGTCGTGCTGTTAGGTCCATCTTGGAAAAACCGCTTCACTTGTCATTCCATGCAAAGTGAATGATACCGCGATTATTTTCGTCGGAATGGCTACTTGCTTCTTCTTTCTGCGTCAATACAGTTTCAACCTTTGTCTGCTTCTTGGTAAGCCCCCTTCCCAAGCTGCCACGGGTACGGTCACACTTCAGGCACCTCACATCCACGTTTCCTGGCGTGTGAGGTAGGGCACAGTCGAGACGATCAAGCGTCGGCTGCCGTTCGCTGTTCACGGCCCAGACGAGCTCGACCGAACATGAGTTGCATCTTCCACCGTAGGAGCTCACGAGCGCTTGGATGAGGGCGTCCTTGTGTTGATTGCCTTCCCCGTGGTCCACCCGCCCGGCCGTCACATCGGCGCGCGGACAACTCGACACCTTCCTGTTGGCCCACGACCTCCCGGCCTGTTCGGTCATGTCGCTGACGCTCCGATGGACGTCATCGAGGACTAGGACGTTTGAGGGCCCCGTCGCTCGGCTGATGGCTGTGTATAGCCAACAAACGTCCGAAAACCGATGTCGAGCCTGGTGGGTCACCAATTTTCCTTCCACTGTGCAACCTTGAACAGCGTGCACCGTACACGAACCCGAGGGGTCAAACAGAATCTCTGTGCTGCGGCACGACTCAGCGTGGTTTATTCGAGGGTGGCGCCGTCATGGAAAGCACTTTGCACGACGACGGAGTCGGCCGACGAACGAACGATGTGGAAGGCGTGGTTCTTGTGAACCTTCCCTGTCTTCCCAAGGGCTCGATACTGTGCACCCACCACTGCGCTTTGTCCTAGAGCGTTCCACCCTCCAGTCTCGTTGCATCTCGCCAAATGCTGGAAAGCATGGAACCGGGCACAATATCTGGTATAAACGAGGTGGAAGTCTGAAAGGTGTTGGCCATGCCTTGTAGGTTCGATCCCGCCGAACCTCTCCAGAGCTCGTAACTGCGCTTCGGCGCTGTTGTCTCCCGCATCCAAGATGTACAACAGACTGTCGTCCGTTCATCGACCTGCTCATCGATCGTCTTGTCCCGCTTGCGTAGGAACGAGCTAAAGCAGGTTGGAAATGCTTGCTCAAGAACGAGTTACCTGCCGACGTTGTCCACGCTCGTAGACGTACCGCTGCTGTCACGAACGGGCTGCAGCTGGTGCGTATCGTACGTTCCGACGACGTGGACACCGTTGCTGTGAGTCGCGGCGAGGACCACGCTGAGCGCATGGAGAGACATGTACGCGGCTTCCTCGCTATGACAACGTTCACCCTCAGGATATGTATCGAGCCCGCGATCTTCCTGATGCTCGCGTCGTCGCCGATGAAAAACCCAAGCTGATGGTCGGCAGTCTTCACGCTCCACCGTGGGGGGAGGTCAGTGTACGACGTGCAAAGGCTGTTCGTGGGTGTCCCCACAAGACCGCTTTTGGACACCTTTTGCGCTGCACGGAGCGCACAGTAGCTTTTCCGGCTCCACCGTGTTCTCCCGTGACCGCACAAACGACCCCATTCTCCTCCAACATCAGCTCGCGCAGTCGTTGCTCAAGAACTGCTGGTGACTTTGCCGCGCAGATGTCCGGCCACATTTTCCTTTTTCGTCGTTGCCGACAGATCGCCAAGCTACATGCGCGGCTCCCATGCTACCGAAGCTCTTCCCGATGCCGCTCCATAGTGGGACGACACGCAGCTCTCTCTCCCGCGGGCAGGGAATGGATCTCATGGCGAGGGGTAGATCGTCGAGGGCCAAATTCACCTCGATGCCACCGAAGACGCGATCGAGAGACGGTGCGTTATTGAGGGCTGGCTCGAACTTGAGAGTGCCGGGGGTTTTGAGTTCGTCGCTGAAAAAAAACTTGTAGCGGTGCCTTGCTTCCTCTTGGACCTCTGTCGGTCCCCTGAAGAAGACAGCGTCGCACTGGTAGCTGAAGGAAGAACCACCACACGCCTCGAGCATGTCCCGCACGTCCAACACACGTCGGCGCGTTTCGTCGAGATGAGCGTCCAAAGCGCCCAGAACCCGTCCCGGTATCAACCCCGGCTAGCCTCGAAACAAAGGTAGGCGTCTTCGCTGTCTAGTTTCTCTATGCCAAGCTCCCCATCACTTCCATTCTTCCGCAGCTCCGACTTGATGCAATTAACTTCGCCGAGGACGGGCACGACCTTACCCCCCACGGCTATGGCGTCCTCGCTGGTAGTGACGATGACGGCGTTGATTCTGCCGGCGTGCCTCTGCTGCAGCAAGCCGCTCGTGCGAACTAACAAGCCCTTCTTGAACCTGCGGGCAGCGTACCAGTCTTGGAGGAGGGGCTCCCCTAGATCCCGGTCCAGCAGACCCTGCACGAGGCCGGGTATGTGGGACTTTTGAACCGTCCTCGCAGGTCGTAGAATACGAAGTGGCTTACGGGGTGTGGGGCGGGGGTGTGAACGAGCGTTTGTAGTCCCGACCAAAGACTGGCGTTACATCAGAATTCAGGCACACGTCGGGGTCACCACCAGCGTCCAGGCGGGCGACGTACAACGTCCAATTCTCCATGTCGCGGCCGTCGAATGCCTGCACCTCGTCCATGTGGGTGAACGCCGGCAGATTTCCCATGTTCCGTATTGCTGCCGTGTGCGCCCCGTTGATGTCGCACTGCCAGTCCCCCGGTCCGTAGGTTGTGCCCGATGCGTCGTCTGCCCCGAAGATAGGCCCCCTCAAACAAACCTCGAGTAGTGCGAGGCCAAACGGGTTCTACTCACTCTAGACCCAAAAATCTATCACACCGCGAATGAGCTTGCGCCCGAGCGTGGCGTGCATCTCGATTAGATGAGTAGCTTCGTCGTATTCGAGTTAAAACGGACCCAGTCCGCCCATGCTCGCGCCGCACCAGATTCGAGTAATGATGCCGTGCGCCGGCAACGACATCGAATCCCAGTGGCTGTAGCTAGTCAGCCTACCCGTGCAAGTCACGCCACCGAGGTGGAGATGAAGCATGAGCTCGTCCAGAGCGGTACCGGGAGGTGCGTACCAGGTCTTCTTGCTGTCCGCCATGTCATCGACTCCTCTCCTGCGCTTCCGAGTGGTCTGCTGGTCCTCCGCCGACTGGTTCGAGGCGAGGATTGCCTCTGTCATGTCCGCGCAACGAACAAGGGTCCTGGTGTAACCATCCGATTCCTCCTCTCCTTCCCCTCTTCGGCCAACTCGGCAATACGGTGAAAGAGGCGCCTCGTGCGCACGCAGTGCTCGACCGAAACATCCAGAGATGGATCGACCGCCCATTCGCGAGCGCCGCTGAAGCGATCTTTCCAAGGGCCATCGAGCACCAAGCGGTACACGGGGCCTTCCCGAACCCCGACATGTAGCGCTCGGGGACGGAGGCTCGTCAGCTGGTCCTTGGAACCGAGAACGTCGGCCCCGTTGCTCGCGCGTGACCATACGACGACTGGCGCCTTGGTGGTCTTGCGCCACTCCTCAAGATGACGGACAGCAACGGCCGGTATACGTTTTTCGCCCGAAAGCCACGCCGATAGCTCTCCTGGGCCAACATCCCGCTCGAGCATTATCGAGTACAGGTTGCGGGAATAGTTCCCTCATCCAGGGCGTTCGGCGCTGCACGCTTTCTTCCACCGCCCGCCGGCACGAGAATGAATCAATGCACCTGTCAGCGGATCTACGTCACGGAACCCAAATATCCGTCGATCGCGTGCGAGTAGATCCACCTGACAGTCTCGCCACGAATCTGCGACCAGGACCGCCAGACAGGCGCCCGGGTCACGCTCCTTCCAAGTAATTCCAAAATCGGTCAGGGGATCGTGTCTCACGAGTCGGTGGCCGAAGGATGCGATATTGAGCTGTTTGAAGCGTTGATCCTCCGAGGCGACACCGGCGCGAACCTGCAGGCCGACGAGAGATGTCGGGATGCCGTGCTGGTTAGCGTCGATCCTTCGGCCCCCGTGATCCCTAGCAGAGGATCACTCGCCAGGTCTCGTCCACAGCCGACACCACGAGCTGTCCGAGTCCGCCGCCCTCGACGTCGACGATGGCCACCCGCCAGGCGTCGGCGTCGCGCGGGTGCACCAGGCCCCTGCACAGCATCGTCCCCGCCAAGGCCTGAAAGTCCCGGAGGTCGGGATCCCCGCCGAACGGGTGCGAGTTGAACCACCGGTGTCCCGGCACCGGGTAGACGCGGTGCAACGGCAAGCGAAGGCGGTACCCGGCGCCGAAGACCGCCTGGCGCCTGTACGTCTCTCCCTCCCTCTCTCCCCGGTAGCGCCAGCCGTTGCTCCTGCAGGCCAGGGGGGCGGCCTGGTCGACCTACTCGGCGGAGCACCACCGGTACTCGGCCCACCGAGCCGTGGCGGCGGCATAGACTAATAGTGTTTCTGTTTTACATAGTGTCGGAGCACTTAAAGGAGGACAACAAAAAAAGTCGGCGATTGTTGACGAATCGTCAACCACGGCGAAAGGTCCTTGTGTTTGTGGCTGTGAGGGCGGGGGCAGGAAGGATCGCTTCAATTGTTTCACGGAAATTTTGGAGGTGGTTCTTGTACATTGTGATGTCTCGCACGAACTATGTTTTTGGGTTGAGGGACAAAGTGCCGCTCGTATGTACATAGATGGTGGATCCTTTCCCTCGCTGTCCTCGGCTAATGCACATTGAATGATGGGGAACGCCGCTCTGTTGGATTCGAAGCAGCCGCAGATATAGAGGGGAAAAGGGCGCAGTGTGCGATTCAAGTGTCCAGCCTGGCTGCTTCATTATTTTACCACTCACGTAACTGCGTGCCACTTCGTTCGGATCAGCCAACCGCCGCGGGATCGACCTTCTTTCGAAAAAGGGAAAATCAGTATCGGGTCATCAAGCGATGTGTCGTTAAACCTTGTGGTGATTATTTGTGTCACTCGGTGGATCAAGACATGTGTGTCCTGACATATAAATCTGGCATATAAACTGCGTGCCAGTGAGGTATTTTGGAAGGTTCCCTCAGCCATCGCGAGGATGATGGGATGAAGAGGCCACATAAGGTTCTCAGCCAAGCCTACTATCCATCATTCCCAAACAAGACTACACGCGGATCGGTCGGTCGGCCGAGTGGATCGATCCCTCTTCCCCGTCTCTCCATTTCGTAGTCAGCCAGAATGATGACAAAAGGTCATCATCCGAAGACACGAGTTTCCCCAAGATTTTCCCGAGGTGCTGTCCTCGATTCCACCTTGGCCGACGCCACCCGTCGACCAAGTATCTTGGGTCGTGCATGTTTGTTGAAATTCCGCTGCAGGCTTTTGACCCATCTACAAATGCTGGGAAGGTGGGCGGGGAGGGCACATCCATTTCAACATATCCGCGTCAACAAACCCCAGTGGGAATCGTCTCCGAAATCCAACTGTAGGACTCATCTCCGAAAACCCACCCGTGGGACTCATCTCTAAAAACCCACTCTCGTCGAACTCACCTCTGAAAACGGACCATACATTCTCTCGGAAGCCACGACAGAAGAGAAAAACGAAATGGTGCCCCGTGAAGCGGTCGACGCTGGTGCTGTGCGATTTGCCAGCTTGGGGCGTAGTCCTTGACGGCCGCCGGGACAGCCCCCAAGACACACACGCGTGCGAGCTATGCGTGCGCACAGCCCGCTACGTCGATCGAACTTTCCTCGTGTTATACACTCGTCGCAAGGTTAAGCACACGCCCATGTGCTTCTCTAAAAAAGTGGCCACGGCCAAGGCCCAGGCGTCCGGCTCCGTCAGGGACGACTTCTTCGTACGAAGACTATTGCAAAGATTTCACACGAAACGCTCTTACACTACTATGCGAAGGTGAAAATACGACAAAGCTATGGCTTTTGGCAACGTGCTCTGCCGCTTTGTCGTCAATCCCCCCTGCACCTGCCTCAAATCCCCCGCACTGCAGCCTTATACCGAGACCCGGATTGACCACCGACCACGAGCGACACCCGACCAGGCACCCCATAGGAGCTGCAGCAGGCAGGTGTTCTGGGAGTCGCAACGCCTCAAAACGCACAATAAAACTCGAAACACGCACGCCATGTCTCTCGTGCGTTCATTCTCACACATTTGTCTCAGCAGTCTGCTGCTGTCCCATTTCTGTCAAGCGCGGCCAGCCTTGGTGTTGGCGGCGGCAACCACAATCTGGGACGCCCGGTCTTCGTCGTTCTCGAATCTTATCATGCGGCCGTGACCGGGCAGTATCCACCTGTTGGGTTGTGGCCCAGCGCGGGCCATGCGGTGCGTTTCATGTCTTATTACTGATCTTGTCGTGGAGGACGGTCAAACATGCCGAAAACGTAGTCCATACACAAGGGGAAAAAAAATATGAATGCCGCCAACACCTATGATGTAGGATGTTGACCGGGAGCTTCTCAAGGCCATAAACATGGTATAGGATGTCGAGAACGAGGTCTTCAGTCAGTGTCGAGCCTGGGACACAACCCGTCAACCGCGAAAAATCCGCTTTTCACTTAAGTCCACCGTACCTCAGGAAAAGGAAGCGGGAAGAAAAAAAAAGGGGGATCTCCATCGTTCACCTGTCGAATATCCATCGATTGAATCACTCAAACTGTTGCGAAACAGCGCGCGAGGAGCGATTCAAGCAGGCAAGTGGCCGCATCGGAGAAACGACTAAAGTCTTCGGTGAACGGAACGAACGGCATCCACCCGACGCAAGGATAACGTGTTTACGGAGGCTGGGGCAGAGACTCAGACCCTGGCGCTCTGGGGCACTTCGAAAAACACAGGTCTACATGCGTACCTGAACTTGAGGTCGGATCTGGCGAGAAGCTCAATGCTCTCGGCCTGCATGGCAAGGTCGTACCCGTACCTGCGACCGCCGGTTCATCGTGCCGGGGAGAGAGAGAGAGAGAGTGGACGCGAACGGACCACTTGAAGTCCCTGAGCAGTCGGCAGCATCCCAGTCGTTGAAAACACCCAGCAGTCTTCATTCTGACCGTCGTCACATGCTTTCTATCTCGGACTCCGGAGCCCAAAACTCGGCGCGTCACCGCGACCGCAACTCTTGGGGCAACCCTTACCCTTCCTTAGCCAAGACTCTCGTACATGTTCCTGCTTTAGTCTGGGTCCAAAGTACAGACAGCTTGTCGTGATAACGAACGTTTAGCCGCTACGTGAGAATCAGGAACAACGCTGATATCTCCCTCGCAAACATAATATGGGTCAACCGCAGTCATGAGAGTACAAATACGTCTGGGTGGATCGACAGGGACCAAGCGGCCGGACAGAAACAAGCAAAACTTCGACGCTAAGAACACCGAGGGACCCTGAGGTGTGATACGCGCAGCAGGATCGTGCTGACGTGGAGGTCACTTGTTCACGGAGAGCTTCACCTGGGGAAGCCAGTGAGAGCACCCGTACGACCCGACAGCGCCAGATGATCTCCCGTGAACGCGATGCCTTCGGCTTGTGCGGAATCCCCCCCCTCTGCGGCAGAGTGCGCGCCCTTGTTGTTGCCGTCGTAAAGAAGCGTGATGCTCCCTCTTGAGTGTCCGGGCGTGTGAAGCGCCTGTGGTATGGAAAGCCGTGGGTCGGATTCAGGATCCCGCCGCGGTGACGGATTCACTAACGCGCTCAGAACCCGTGTTGTTATCGATGCAGAGGTCTAACACCTATCCCTCCTCCCCTCTCCTACGCACGCCCCTCCCGAATGTTTGGCGTCTCTCGCCCTTGACAAAAATGGAGGATATCCTCCCTTTGCCGGGACCAACCTCAACCACGCCTAGTTCATCGCGAAAAAGCGAGAGGGCGCCTTGGGGTGGTTTGAACTACCGCGCGAATGGATGTGACTCCAGCACTGGCACGAAAAGGTCAATAACTGTCCAGAAATAAATCTATGCAGGTTCAGCCCACGCCGAAAACACCCTGTACCCATGCTCTCCGCCGTAGACAGGCCGCCAGCCCAACACGACCAAGAGAGAAATATACCATCCAAATGAATGAAGGGCCACACGAGAGCAGCAGCTCACCCTCAAACCATCTCCCAGTTGCCAGTAGTCACGAGACCCAATCTGGCCGTCAGCGGAGTCGCTGTCGAGCTTGATCTGTTGTTCGCGAGCGAAAATAAGACAATCGGGAGGTGGCGGGGAGTGTGGAACCTTGACGGTTCGCCTTGAGGTGCACACGAGACGCAGAAATATTGACCAGGGCAAGATCCATCACGCAAAGGTCTTGCTTGACGGCAAAGCATTGACTTGACCTGGACCAAACGATGCAAATGTTTATTTGCCAACTGCGTAGCGCACTACCGAGCGCTGTGGGCAGCTCCCCGGCTTCGACAAACTCAAGCGAAACCCGGCCCTCGACCTTGTGCCTGTGGCCGTGTCCGTCCAATGACTGTGGAAATATGGCGCACAACACAAAACCGAACAACGAAAGTGCAACTCGATTTCGTACTCGAAATTTCTGTCACCCCCACGTGCCTCGATGTTGCGCGTGTCTCCTTGTCGCTGGACGTCGGCCTTGTGCATCACCCTTTTCATGTTCGGAAACCTCTCTTTCCACCTGCTGGTGTGTCCAATTGAGGTTCAACCACGAGAATTCCCCGAGTCAAGGAGAGAGCGGCCGGAACAGCGCAGACGCTGTTATCGCCTTCAAGCGATGATACTGCTCTTGTAAACTCAAAAACGTTCGATGAGGACGACACGATCAATACCACCATGGAGCATGATGTACCTCGCTCCGCCAAGACTAGCAACGAATAAACCGGCGAGAGGCCTGATATTGAGTCCACACCTCGGTGCGATGAATAAGAGTGCAGACGGCCATATATACACACACATTGGCAACGTTCCCGAGTTAATCGACTCTAAGCACGGCTCGTGCATGGGTAGACGACGCCTGTGAGTGCACTGCGCGTTCAAATCGGGCCAACAAACGATGCCACGGTGCCGCCTACACTGCTTAATGCGTGGCACTTCAGCAGTGAGAGAAACACACAGCCAAGCGCTAGGCGTGTTGTTCCTTGCCTTTGGTGATCGCCCACGTCGTCAATGTGGCTCAGGACCATCAGGGATACACCCCCTTTCGCGTCCAGCTCCTTGGCCAGACCATGGTGAAACCTTGGGCTGTCCATCATCATGTTGCCCTCGGGGCGTTGCTGGTTGATTGGCGCGGATTTTGTTTCAAGAGTTGGACCAAGGCCAGAAAAAAAAATCAAGGCTTCATCGCCCTATTAGCGCTTGGATTCGCCCGACTGCTGTAAAACGTTGCGCTGCATGTTGCACAAGATTAAGCCTATATATGCCAACGAAAACTACAAAAGAGAGCTTTCGGATGTCGAACAGGATCCGGGCTGCGGGAGCACTCCGAACGCGCTGCGGTTTGTCTCTGGTCTCTACCCCCGAGCTCCAGGGATTCGTCTCATGCCACCCTTTTCTTGTAACCCCTAGTCCTCAATGCTCGCGCGCGGATTGCCGAGCGGCCTTGGGACGTCAGCAGAAGAAGCGGAGACAAGGTTTTTGAGAAAAACCACGTCCGACGTCAAAAGCTGGGTGGGCAATGTTTAGTCGCTGAACCTCATGTGCGCGGTTGAATGAAACGAAAACAACAAACTCCGAAAGAGGGGCGAATCATCAATGGGAACCCATCAGCAGACCCTCTCCGACCACTTCCTGTTGTGCGCTTGATCGTTGGGTGCAACAAGCATCAAGGCGCTCCTGCTTCGTGTCCTCAATGAGGATGACCAAACCCCTGTGACCTTGCTGACCCTATAAAACATCACGCTACCACGCGACCATGTTGCGTGTCGCGCCAGGCAGAGCGCCAGGGTCAAGCGCCGCTATCACGTCGAGTCTCGAATCAAATTCTCACCACAAGCCAGGGCGAGCACCCGAAGGAGCTCCCACCGTGGAAGCCCAAATGAAACACGCCTGGGCAGGGGACAGGCAAAGTTTCAGACGGTGGAAGGAGGGTAGAGGAACCGACGCCCAGAGGCGGACTGGGAACCACGAAGATGCTCAGGGAGGAGCGATGTGTTGCTAAAGTAACCACGGATCGCACGTGTGTGCGCGTGTGTGCCAATCTCCCCACCAAATGACGATGATAAATTAAACATGGCAACGCGGAAAGAGATGCGAGCAGCGCGGGCGGGGCACCTGTCGGCACATACCTACACCTCGTTCGATGGAACACTCTCAAACGTGGGAACGGGGGTAAGAAGCACGCCGCCACAGGCCTGTCCCTGGTCCAGGTGGCACGCGACGTCTATCAATGACAGTGGTTCGACATTTTATGTCCACTACCCCGATCGTCCCTTGCCCACTGAACGAGAAGTAAGACACCACGTCACGACTCAACGTCCTTTGGGAGAAACGAGAACCGTGACTTGGGATCGCGTGACGTTCAGGGGGCCGTACGACCCACCGGGATGTATGAGTTGCTGCAGAAGCAGCCAAAAAATCCCCAAAACATCGCGTGCTCGTGCGAAGTGTGCGAAGAGCAACCGTGCGCACGAAAGGACTTATTTTTTCGTGTCAATACCCGGGAGACGCTCGGAGTCGACG